GTTCTTAGGCTCGTGCTTCAGCGTAAGAAAACCACAAGCTCCCAAGGGTGAGCATGTGAGGTTCAATGTTGGAGTGCAGACAACTAACAGAATGTCTGTGGCCCAAGAAATGGAGACACCTGATGATCTTATACCTTTTCTGGATAATCATAAGATTGGAGACTTTGCGAGGACCTTTCCCCATGCCCTCTGAGGTTTCATGCCCGTGTTTATGGACCTCTGGCTGTGCCTAGAGCATACAGCATGGCCAGAGAGCAGGGACACCAGATACAGGCAAAGAGACCCCAAGAGGCAAAAAGCCTCCAGGGTTCGTTTGCAACCAGCATACCCGGGACCAGGTGTAGAGAGTAGCTTGTGGCCAGAGCAGGAGTGGCTCTGGCCTGGTTTAACTCTGCTCCGGCCTCACAAAACCAGCTTCTATCGGGTCTCCACCTTTGCCTCTGAGTTCTGCTATGACTTTCCCTACCAAGGTTGCTAATGAAAGAATAAAGTTTTAAATGAGTAGTTAAAATAAAGAAAAAAAAAAGCACCCAGGCTTAAATCTGCCAGCAGTGAGAGCATGGGAAGGTCTGTGGGCTGGGCAGACTGAACCTCCTAGGATCTAGCTGGGAGCTGGGACTTGATACCCAGGAAGAAGAAGCCGAGCCAGGGAAACTGAGGGGCACCTCCTCGCAGCAAGGTCACCGCAAGGTCACAGCGAGGACCCTGGCCCTGCTGAGTACAGGTTCGAGTGAGTGACAGGATATAGAATTGGGACTTTTTCTCAAAGGCAGCAGACAACTCTTAGAGCAAGCCTGAGTGACATAAAAGCTGTGTCTTCAAAAGCCCAGGAAAGAGGATCCCAGATCTATAAAAGTTGGGCCAGCAATGTGCCACTCTTGGCCAGCAGCCTGGTCCTGCTCGCTGGTTGGGTTTGTGGGTCTCAGGTTCATATTTACATGTGGTTGCTGAACTCCGGCCACACAAGAGGGCTGAAATTGAACAGCTCCCAGCTCTTAGAACCTTAGGAAAGGCCATGAACGAAGTGCTTGGCACAGCATTGTGGGCGTGGGGCTAAACTTTGGGGGCCTCAGATGGAGGAATGAGTTACAAGCATCAGAGCCAGGAGCCTATCTAAGGATTGGCTCCCTAAAGCAAGGTCCCATGGTTTGTGCAGCCTCCCCAAGCCCCCACCGTGGTGTAGTGACTAGTGGTGAAGGCCAGCGACTTGAAGAAACAGGACCCTGCCCGGGCCCATTCTCCATCTGTATTTACATTCCTAGTGCTCTCCAGATGGAATTTTCTGTGATCTGACCTACTTTCCTTTAGCGTGTGTGCTTGGGCTGATTAGCAGCGCCAGGTCCACCGGTCCTGTGTGGCTCCCCCAAGGCCGGAGGCAGAGGTGGAGCTGCTCAGAATTGTTTTCTTGGGGAGTCGGAGGTGCTTCAGATTATTCTCCCCTCTTGACTGCGGCTCAGTCCCTTGGACACTGGGATGTCAGAGTCTGTGCCACACGGTTTATCTCTCAATTAGGGGGTTGGCAGTTTTGCTCATCTTTCTGGTTCGTGTCAGTAGGGAACTTGTGAACAGACTCATCCTCTTCAACATCTGTAGCCCAGGCACATGTCAGTGCATTAATACATGTGGAACTGCTGTTTCAGAAATGAAGGGTGCATTCCTCAATTTATCCAGGTTGCTGGGGTGCCTTGGGGCCATCAGTAGGAGGGTTGGCACTGGAGCAGAACTAAGTGGGCTTAGATTACCCTCAGGGTCCTAGAATGTGTGTGCTGTGGCCAAGAGGCCCCTCAGAGGACAGGGTCTCACCGGGGCCATGCTTACAAGTGTTGGGCATCACTGCTTTGCTCCAGAGAACTAAGGCTCAGCCCTTGCGCCCCACGTGAGGCCAGGCTGGAGGCAGGAGTTTGGGCTGGGAATGACAAGGAGGTGAGGGAAGGGAGGAGCAGCAGGCCCTGTGAAGGCAGCGCCTCCCTGAACAAAGGTTGGGGATAAGCAGAGGGGATGGTAGGGCTGCGTCCTAGCCTCAGCTCCAGTTAATAACCTGGCCCCAGTGGGTGCTCAGCACAGGTTTGAATACACTGGGGAATCAGTGACTGTAATGCTACCTGCTTGCACTTTAATAATTTTGCTTGCAATTTAATAATAGATGGATTCTGTGTTTTCTTAGTGTATAAACTCGTGATTTGATCTTTGCAGAATGGCTTGGGCTGGGGTGTGGGGAGGGAGGAGGATGGGGAGGCAGTCAACAGGCAGGGTGTAGGGGGTGGCATCTGTTTGCAGCAGACCTTGTGGGTAACTGTAATCCAGGGAGGGTCTCAGGAGCATGCACACTGAGTTAAATGGCTCTGGAGTGCTGTTGTTTTTGAGTTTCCTTGGTTTGACTATAATAGTTTTTCTATTTTTTTTTCTTTTTGTTACTTGTTCTTCTTCATCCTGTCCAGGAGTCTTGGTCAGCTTGGGCTGCTATAACCAAAATACCATGGACTGGGTGGTTAAACAAAAACATGTATTTGTTGTATTTCTGGAGGCTGGACATCTGCGATCAGGGTGGGAGCATGGTCAGGTTCTTAGTGAGAGCCCTTCTCCTGGTGTCAGATGGCTGCACTCTTGCTGTGTCCTCACGTGGCAGAGAGAGTCAAAGAGGGGGACACACAGAGAGACAGACACACACACACACACACACACACAGATTATGGTCTTTTTTTATAAGGGCATTAGTCCCATGAGGACCCTTGTGACTTAAGCTAAGCCTAGTCACCTCCCACAGGCCCCAACTCCAAATACCATGGCACTGGGTTTTTGGGCCACCAAACATGGACTTGGGGGACACACACCTAAAGTCCACAGTGCAGCCCTTTTCCTTTCTAAGCACTATCCCTTTCCTTTTTTTTTTACATTTCTGTAAGCTGAATTACTAGACAACCAGGTTTGTTTTAATTTATGTGTAAAGCATCAGAAGGTCTTCCATGAGGGTCTGAGACGTTCTTCTGTGAGTAAACTACACAAACTAGTAATGCATGGATGTCAGTGGCCTGAACTTCAAGGGTGCCCAGAGTGGATTTGTTGTGCCCCTTGTTCTTGGTTGGTGCTCAAGTGGTGCCAGTTTTCTTTCCTTATTTATAAGAAAAGTTTTCCCCCTAGTGCCGTGAAGGACTTAAGGAGGTATTAAAGGGAAGTGCCTTTATTAGAGTCCCAATAACCAAAAAGTTATGATGCAGGGACACTTTGCTTAATGGGCTGCCCCCACTTCATTAGCGGCAAACCCCAACCTGCTAAGGGTCAGGACACTTGGGTGGCTCCTTCACCTGTCATGAAAAAAAAAAGCAGGTGAGTTCTAACTGTGGGTCTTCATAGTTTCCCCATGTATTTTCCTAGTGCCAAGTTTGGCTGAAAAGCCATAACCTTGGTGCCCAGGGAAGAAGAGGTGACTTACCCCTAAATATTAAGTCTAGGTTAGTCCTTAGGAAATTTTCAGCTTCACATGGTAAGGTTCTCAGGACCTCCAACAGCGTGTGGGGCCTGAGAGGTCTGTTTTCTAACAAACAATCCCTTGGGGTGCTGAGAATGACAAGGTGAACAAGTTGCAGGATCCTTGCCACTGGCTGACCCCCAGTGCTGACAGTCAGTGATGGCCTCCTGCAAGGTGCTTTCCAGAGCAGCTTCATCCAGCCACCCCCAGTTAGCCTCCCTGGGACACTGAGGCAACTGTTGGCTATTTTCATAGAAATGTAAAGGTGAACCTCAGTGCTCCCTGGAAACTTCATGTTGTGTTCCAGGAAATAATTTGATTTTCCAGCTTTTTGTTTGACACTCATCTTCATTAAGAGCAGAGGAAAGTCAGCTCACTGTAAAGCTCTAGAACTATCTTGATAGCATGAGCTGCAACCTCAAAAGTACCCGTGCAAACATCCCTGGCCACAGCTTTAGAAAATTCTCAGCATAGTGGAGGAAATTTTTAAATGTTTTGAGGAGTTTTGTTTTCATTTTATTTCTCTTTTGGCCATAATTTAGATGCATTTTAGGCTTATAGCACTGTGGGGAAAAGACATGCTGAGAAAATGTGGAAGTTTTCAACTTACCCCTCTGAGGTCCCACTGTAATTCAGTCGTGAGCTGTGTTTGGAACTCTGAATTCAGTTGCACTGAATGTAAAGCATGGAAAATATGGTCAGGTTCCCAGGTGTGACCCAAACCTCCGGAACCTATAAGGAGATGACATCCTTCTCTGGTAGCGTCTGGTGGGAAGACCCAGAGCCTAGGCCTTGGTGGTTTCTGAGCCAGCCAGAAGCCAGGCGGGGCGACCTGGCCAGCAAGGGAGTAGGGGTGGGGGCGTGGTGATCACATTTCTGCAGGCCCAGCCTGTTTACAATCACAGATATGGGCCGTTTGATTGCATGTCAAGCTGGCTGCCTTCTCCCTGGAGACCCTCGTATAGGAGGGGCCTTGCAGGGGCCTCTCAGCTTGCCTGGCCTGTTTGTTTAGGGTAAGCCTGTGCACAGGGCTTCTCTGTGGAGAATGCATCTGGTGGCTGAGAGGTGGGGTGCAGACCCTATGGCGCCCTGTACTTTTCTCCCCAACGTGCCCCACCCCACCTCCACCAATTTGTGAGCAAAGGTGTCCTTGGAGGCCCTGTGTGGCTCATTCAGGAGAGGAGTGGGGCAGGCAGGCCCTGGCATCTCCAGGGTCCAGGCCTCAGCTGGCTCCCCCCGCCTGAAGGAGGCAGAAGCGGGCAGTAGGACACCGCACAACACACCGCGTGCCCCTTTCCCACTGTGGCCTGTTTACCTGGTCCTCCAGCCGGCCCCCTGATCCTGGGCTGGGAGAGTCCATTTCCTTCCTCCTGGAGGGATGAGCCCGCCGGAGTGAGAACACCCCACTCTCCCTGTGGCCAGCCTGGCCGAGACCACCACGCCCCTCCCTGCCTGGGCCCCGCACTCGCCCGCCCGCAGTGCATTTGCATTTCGAAGCCACACAATGCAGGCGGCCGGGGCGAGGCTGGCGGAGGCTGGGGGAGGCGGCGGGGGTGCAGAGGGAGGGTCTTCGCCCTCCCTCCCCCGGCCGCGCTTCCGGAGCCAGCGATGGAGCTTTGTGAAGATGCGGGCGTCGGGGCTGCTCGGTGATGACATCACCGTGTCACACACTGGAGCCGGCTGCCGGGGGGCTTAAGAGCAGATCCGCTCGGACCACACCGGCGCTCACACACTCACGCGCCCTCGGCAGAGCCGCGCGCCGGCCTCACCCGCGCACACACTTGGGCGCGCGCCGGCCACACTCGCGCGCACACTTCGCGGCGCTCGCTCCTCGGGCCCCGGCCTGGGCCCCCAGCCGCCGCTCCCCGCCGCCGCCGCCGCCACGGATGCCAGCAGTCGCTTCCATCTGCAGTGCAGTAGCCCCGGCCGCCGGCCGGCCCGCCCCGGGCTCCCGGCTGGAGGAATTGCGCCAGGACGCTGGCCCTGCTCGCAGCTAGCCTGCTCGCCAGGGCGCAGCGAGGATGGGAGGGTCGCAGTCCCTGCAGCCAGTCCCAGCCAGCGACCCGAACCAGGAGGCTTCTGAGGCAATGTAAGTGCTCCGCCTGGCCATCCGGAGCCCCGCGCAGGAGGAGAGGCTGCCCGGGCTTTGTTAGTGTCGCCCCTCCTGATGCCTGTGCAGCCTGCAGCTGGGGCTGGCCTGGGGTTCTCGGCAGCCTTGTGTGGCTTTGGTGGCTGTTCTTTGTAGCATTTTGTGCTCCCCTCCGGAATGAGCATCTGGCAACGCAGGATACTGCCCCGGGGGCAGGAGTGACCCAGTGGAATTTGGTTTTGGTTGTTCAGCCCAGTGCATGGTAAAGGGCTTCTTGTGCCATCATCATAACTCTGCACCAACCCACGCACCCCCACCCCCACCCCGGCACAGTGGTATTTCCTGCAAGGCAACAGCCGGGCATCAACAGGGGCCTCTTGGGAAAAACCTTTGCCTTGACAGTGGCAGCTTGGTACCTATGGAGACAGACCAGCTTAGGGGCAGCCGCTCAAAGGCTAGGCAGATGGCATGGAACACCACTGGCAGACAGACATGAAGTCCGGTTCGCTTAAGCATCCCTGTACTCCCTATCTGGTGAACACTGTGGAGGACAAGGCCACCTGCTATTATTAGTAAAATCAGCCTAACAGATTTGTCATTGGTAGAATTTGACTGCATCGATTCAGGAATTCGATTTTTTCTCCAAACCACAGAACTAACTTGCTCAGAAATGGCCTTTATCCTGGATAGATGCTTATTAGAATTGCCATTTCTATATGGTCATCTCCATATCTGACCAGACATATCTGGAGAATGGGACTTACTGACTAGATCTGGCTGCCGGAAGTCATGCTGATATCTGAAGTGGCCCTCCACATCCCAGCCTTACTTGCTCTCCTTTCCCACAGAGCGTGTGTTTCAGAGAAGAGTATCTTCCGGGGACCTGGGGATGTGGGCCGTAGAGTGGTCTGTGTGTAGATTAAAAGATAGCAGGGATTGGTCTGTGTTGTAGTGGGGACAGCATGCAGTGTGGGGCTTCCTCACTCGTCCCCGTGCCTGGGCTTCAATGAGGAGCTGGCTCAGCGTGGTGATGTAATGCTAGGCTGAGCCTCATGGTTTTACAGGCTCTGGCTCTTTAGCAGCGAACCGTCCTTAGGAGCAGGTGTGCACTGATCATTTGTCTTCATCGTGTAGCTTAGAGAAAGCAGCATCTTAACAATGGAGGTGTGTCATGTCGGAGGATTTTTTTAGTGCCGTGAGCCTTGTACTATGCCTGCCCTGTTTTTCGTCCATGTGCAGTATTGTTAGATGCATGGAAATATGTGATCCCATGAGGGACTCCAGCCAAGAAAGAAAAGAACAAATTCAACCTATCAGTTAGAAGTCTCTAAACTGTAAATCAGTGAATCAGTGGTCAGCACTAACTAGCTAGTTGTTAGGCCTCAGTCCTATCTGAGAGCGTAAGAGATTTAGAAGATAAAGTGGAAGTAGGTTTGGGAAAATATGCTTTTCAGCCTTTGGAAATTCCACTTGCCAGTGCCCAACATCCCTACTCTCTTTCCCAGTTAATAAATGACTAGTATCTGTTGGCTGAGGGCTGAGTTTGGGAGATCTGTTAGGTAGAAACTGCCTTTTTGGATAAGGCTCCCTAAGGTCCTGCCCTGTGGGGATAGTGGTGTTTAAATAAAACTCCAGGCTGATTGGCCGCTTTGTGATGGAAGCTTATCAAATATCGCATGGTTGAGTTGATCCATATGCACCTGCCTGAGGCTTCTCTCCCTGAAACTGCTACTTTTGAAATACTCTAAATATAGATCTTTAAGACAGTGTATTTACTCACTCAAAATCCCACCTTTCATCCCCTAACATTTTGTTTTAAAAAAATGGAGCAAGGAAATGTTTGGGGCTGTTGACCTCCCAGCAACTATTCTCTAAAATCTCACTTCTGCTGTCTGAATAATGGGCTTGTTTATCTACTACAGATTGGCTCATGTCCAGTCTAGAGGTTTTAAAAAACGTATGAAACTGCTTGTTTCAGCAGCACATATACTAAAAGGTGTATTAAAGGAGCATCTCTTTTCTGCACAGGCTCAAGCCTTTCATGCTAGTACATATTTCTGTGCACTTACAAATGCATGCCATGAATAATGCACAAGACAACGTGGCACATGGTCCATGGGAGGGACGAGCCTTCCACTGTAAGACGATGCTCAGCGTTGTAGGGATGGAGACGAACTCAGGATGCACACCTGCCATGAGGCACACTCATGACAACTGGAATCTAGAGCTAATGTTTCTCTTTTTCCTCTGGTGGTTCCCTGTGAAAGAGCAGCTTAATAAGGGCCCTTGTGTAAGAGAGAAACCGAAAGGCAGAGGAAGATCAGATGATGTGGAAGGGCCTGCAAGAATTTGGTTTAGTTCTAGGACTTTCCTTCTGATTTCAGGTTTGGGATGCCTTTGGGCAGCTCGTAGCCCTGTCTGGTCACTTCATTCTGTACAGGACTGCAGCAGGGTGAGGAGGAGAGGTCAGAAGCCCTGCATCCCCCCTTTTGGGGAGTTGGAAGCATAAAGCCTGGAGGAGGAGGGAGGCACATGGGATGGGGAGACAGAGGGATGGAGGGTCAAGTGTTGACCCTTACATTGCAGCTCCCAGGGTGGTCACGAACTGCTGCATCAGCTTCCCCCAGGGACTTGTTAGAAATGCAGGATCTCAGGTCCTATCCCAAACTGGCTAAATTAGAATCTCCATTTTAACCAGTGATTTGCAAAGATGCCAGGTGATTTGGAGGCAAAAAAGTTTTGAGAGGCCCTGAGCTAGTTAGGTCCCCATCTTGGTCCATGAGGAACCTCTGGCCACTCTCTAGCTACTGCTTTCCAGTCTGGGAAAGAAGTTCTGATTGTTGACTGTAGCTGTTGTCTCCAAGTAGAAAAGCCACAGCAGGGAGAGGAGAATTCTGCTGCAGAACGCACTTATTTCTCAGCATGGATGGATGGGAAATACAGGAAAGGGATAGGAAGTACTTGAGTAAATGTGGTCTGTGTCCATCGATTAGACCTGCTGTTCATGCCTTCCTTCCGTGGAGCCCCTTGTGGCTCAGCCTTTGCTGAGTGAAGCAACATGAAGTATTTGTATGTCGTTTGTGTATTTGGAGACGCCTGTTCCCAGGGCTCCCTCGGCTTCCTCCAAATCCCCATGCCTTGGCCACCAGGAGGCAGCAGGGGGCACGGGTAAGCGTCATCATCAGAGAGGGGAAGTGGTTGTTCTGTTGACAAGTTCAACCTGCCTGGACTGTGGCTCGGCTTATGTCTTGGGCTCTGAAAAGCAAATCACAAGTAGGAAAATCCATTCTTCTTCACCTGTGAGGATCAAAATAGAAGAGTCAGGGTGGATGCCGAGAGGTGAGTCTGAAGCAACAGGCCCAGGTGATGAGGTGGGAGAGGGAAGGTTAGACGGTGGCAGGTCCCAAGTGGAGGTTTTATGCTCAGATGACTAAGAGAAGGGTGTGACATGTGCCAAGAGGAGAAAACTGGACTGGGAGCCCATCTGGGGGAAAGTTGATGCGTTTGAACTGGGATTTGAGGAGCAGGTGGGATCAGAATGGTAGCTGAGGGAGTGTCCAGGACCAGAGAGGAATCTCAGGCACCGCTTCCCGCTTCCCGCTTCCCTAGGTTGAGTGGCTCCAGCAGCAGAGTTGGAGCTCTTCATGCATCTTTGACGAGGGGAGATTCGGGTCCCTCCATCCTCATGGCTCCTGGCCCCCTTTTTCAGCCTGGGAGCTGACAAGAGTGTCCAGTGACTCTGATTTAGCTCCACCTGCCTTAGAGGGTTCCTCAGAGGCCAGGTGCCACGTCTGTAAAGACTGAGGGGACAAAAGCTGCAGACCGCGGCAAACACAGGGACACTGCCTGAAAATCTCCAGTGCTTTAGTATCTCAGAAGGCCCACGAGGGCCGTGGAGCTCCCAGCAGGAATTGCTGCTGTTCAGGCCTCACTGGATCTCTTCTTTCAAAGCCTTGTCTCTTGAAGTGACCCTTGGCTAAGTCATTTAGCCAATGACAGCATTCTTACGTGGCCTGTGGACAGTTTCTCAGTTCTTAGAAGCAGATTTCACTTGGATATTACCGTTGGACAAATAAGTAGAATTTTGTTCCCCCTAAAATTGAATACACTGCTAAGTTCTCTGTAGAGTGGGAGTTGCCTGGGTCCCAAGGGAACCTCTTGGGTGCTGTTGTAGCTCAGGCTGCTCTAACAAATACCCTAGCCAGGGCGGCTTAAATAACAGGCATTTCTTTCTCATTGGGGGCTGGAAGTCGTTGTCTGGCAAGGACCCGCTTCCTGATTTGCAGACAGCCGTCATCTCCACGCATCTGTGGTCACAGATGAGAAAGTGCAGAATTGGTCCTCGCATGGCAGAGAAAGAGAAAGACAGGGTGGGGCTGAGAAAGCTTCCATGTCTGTTCTCAAAAGGGCACTAATTTTGTCACAGGGGTTCCACCCTCATGAACCAATTACCTTCCACAGTCCCCACCTCCTAAAACCATTACCCAGGATTAGAGGTTCAACATAACGGATTTTGGGGGACACACATACTGTATCCACAGCAAGTGCTTTTACCTCGGCTGTCATTCCTAGATACCTCCAGTACAACCTGTGGCCATGGGCCCATGTCCAGAAGGATCCTGTCCCTTCACTGCCTTCTCTGTGGGACTTACTTGCAGGCTTTCTCTAAGGTAAACTGAAGGCAAGAACAGTCTGCAAGCCCTCCAGGATCCACCAGCTGTCCAAGGGGTCATGCCATCCCTTTCCGGAATGGGGGCCCACTGGTGATAGGGTGAGGATGTTGATTGACTGGGTGAGCATTACATCTGGGTCAGTGGTTCGGAGCCTTTGTCTTCCCATAGTCCCTTTTGCCTCCATCCCCATGTTTCTTTCCACTGTCTACGACTTGTTTCTGTGGCTATATTTTTGGTTGCCTAGAAACCACTTAAGCCTGAAATATGATTGGCTGTTCTTTCCAGATGGATTGCCTGAACCAGGCAGCATTCTGGGGTAAGCAAAGG